GGTTCCACAGTGATTCAAGAAAGATCCCAACACCAAGACCTGTCGACTGAGGACCAAATTGTCACCTTCACCCCTGTCAAGTGCATGGAGCAACTGCCCACACCCTGGCCAAGATGCCAGGAGCATCCCGCATGGCTTTATGGGGCTTCGCGGGTTGGGTCGGGTAGAGGGGCCTTCACAGTGTTTAGCGTCATGTACAATGTAGTGTACCGATCAGCCATGATCTAAAACGTCTAGCCCGGAGTTGGGTGTAGCGTTTTAGCGGTTTAGGGTTTAGGGTTTGGGTCTGGTGGGTTTTTGACTGCTGGTTGAGCTTCTGATGATTCCAGGATTTAAGTTTTTGTTGTGCCCGCCCCAGGGTTTCAAGGCCGAGGGCTTCGGATCATTCTGTACTTACCTTTGGTTAGTAGGGAATGGAGGAATGGGGTACAATTATAACTACTATTACTACCATTCTTCCATTCCCGAAACCCTAAACCCTAAACCCTAAACCGAACCAAAGATAAGTGTAGCACCTAGGCGCTTTTTGACTTCGAGGATCTGTCCCCTCCCCCCACCCCACCCGCCCTACCCTCCGACACACTGAAATCCTAAACCCTTAAATCCGAAGCCCTACACCCTAAACCCGAAATCCGAAACCCATGAACCCCAAGTCCAAAGCAATCCTGAGCCCGAAATCCTAAGCCCCTCAACTCCTAAGCCCCAAATCCCTTAAGCCCTAAACCCCTAAACCCCTAAACCTAAACCCCTAAATCCCTAAACCCCGAAACCCCTAAACTCTGAACTCCTAATTAAGCCCCATTGAAAGAAGTAAAGCCCCTGAGCCCATCAGCCGAGGCTCATCGAGCTGCTCGGTAGCCAGAGGAAGGTGCCCACCAAGGAGCCAGGGGGCTTTTAGGGCTTAGGGTTTAAGGTTTAGGGTTTAAGGTTGAGGGTTTCATGGTTTAGGGTTTAGGTTTCTAGGGCTTAGGGGTTGGGGGTTTGGGGTTTAAGGTTTGGGGTTTACAGATTTGCTTGGGAAGTCTGTGACATTCTTCACATCCAAACCCCGCAGCCCTTTAAACTCCAACCCCCGAACCCCTAAACCCCAAACCCCCAACCCCTAAGCCCTATAAACCTAAACCCTAAACCATGAAACCCTCAACCCCAAACCCTGAATGAGGATGAAGGATTTGCTGCCTTCCTCATAGCGGATTCTGAAGCTTCGGGTTCCATGCAAACGACAACAAACCCTAAACCCCAAATGGGTGATTGTCAAAATTAGGGTCCCTTTTTTGGGTCCCTATCATAATACGGCATCTATTATTAGGGTGCCCAAAAAGGGACCCTAATTTTTATTGGGGTGCCCAAAATGGGACCCTAATTTTGACAGCCGCCCAAATGAGCTTGCAGGATGACCTGATCCTAGCCGTGTCTCACGCCTGGTCCCATCAGCTCCTGCGGCTAAATGCCCCAGAGACTCCAATGGAATATTCCTTAATTAAGGGGTATTGGAGTCTCTGGGGCAGCTTTTTGATGGTCGTGTACGTGAGATTCGTTTGAGGCATGTTTAAGCTGTTTCATATAAGGGTTGGGATCGTTTTCTACCAGCTCCTGTAGGCCTCATACAGTTGTACTATGTAGAATAGGTACCATCCCAAATCCTGTTCGAACTGCCAACACGCTTGTGCCAGGATCAAAATTAGGCTTTCAAGGGTTCATTGTTCAGGTTCAGGTTTAGGCGTTCGTCAACCTAGGGGTCAGTGTCAGTGTGGGATAGTCGCGACATTTTCGGGTTCAGTGTTCCGATGATGAGGGGTTCACAGTAGGGTTTAGAGGTTTCAGGGCTTCGGCATCATCAGGTCACGGTTTGCGAAGGTGTTGGGTGGCTTGGAAGCCGAGGGCGTTGTTCAGGAACCGGGCTGACTGTTCAAGGCATGAAGAATACAGGCTTAGGAAGACCCGCACATGCTTCATCTCAGCTGACTTTTGGACAACCCAACAATCAAAGCCGCACAGCCCAACTCAACCCGAAGAGCCTAAATTTAGAGTTTTTGGCAACTGTCCTTGCTCGACCCGCGACTTCTATGTGAAAGAAAACTGGGTTCTTGTGAAGAAGCCTAACTTAAATTGCCACAATAGAGATCTACAGTTGCCATAGCAAGGATCGGCAGCCAGCAATATGGCATCCTCATCTATTTAAAGTTAGACTAAGTTACTTAACCCTCAACCTTTCTAGACTCCTGGTAGAGCCCATAGTGTGGTAACTTAAATCAAGCTCCTTAGCAAGAGCCCAGAAAAGCGTTCAAGCGAGGCTACATCCAGATCCTCTGGGCCAGAAAGCTCAGACCGTGAAGGAGCTAACCCATCAGGCCAGGGCCGTGCAGCTACCTTGGATTTAGGATTAGGGTTCTTTGAGGGGGCTGGCCCGCAACCTGTAAGGTTTCACAGGGGTTCTCACTAGGCTCCTTGCCGGGTCTTTTCCGGACTTCTCCTTCAAACGTTGGTTTGGTTGCAGAAGCTTTGTACTAGTTGCTGTTGGTTCAGTCGTGATTAGGGCCACTGTTGCCATTACATCGACAAAATCCTATTACTGCTGCCAGCGGTAGGACGAATGCGGCGACGGCGCGAATGCCCTCTAAAACTCGAACCACGAAACAGACCGTTTCACGAGCCTTACGCCCTGGAGAGAGCGGATTTTTTTGGTGCAGTTTTGGGGTTTCTTGAGATCCGAGAGTCCCAGACTACTGTAGCGGTAAGGGAGGTCTCATTTCGGAGCTCGGGTTTAGGGGTTTTTGAAGGGGTCTGACTGGGTTTTTGAGTTCTGGCTCACGATTTTTTTAGCGCCTCCGACGAGATTTGATTAACTCCCACACTCGGCACTTTAGATTCCTACGCCGCCCCTCGGCAGCAACCCAACACCGAGAACCATACACCCCAAACCCTAAATCCTACAGTCGAAACGAGTCCGACGCCTTCAACGCACACGCCGAACTCTAAACGACTGACCCAACACCTCTAGGTAGGGCTTTGGGACAGTTTATATGTTCTCTTATTCGGCTTAAGAGGATCTTACCTACTAATATTTTTCAAAGGCTTTAAACCCTAAACCCTAAACCCTAAACCCCTAAACCCTAAACCCTAAACCCCTAAACCCTAAACCCGACAGTTACAAGATCCAGGAGGCCTCGTGAAGGGACAGAGCCAGAGGGAAACGATGGGGATGACACAAGTTTGGTGCAGCAGGGATGGGGACTACTACCGATGCTGGGAGTGGCCATGGACCGTGTGCCCTCGCAGGACACCCCCTTCTGGACCCTGGCGAGACGGGTGCTAAGAGGGATGCAACGAGAAGGGTTGAACATGGTGGCGGCGGCATCCAGCCTTTTTCAAAGGATGTGTGACAGAGGAGATGAAGAGTATACCTCCCAGTATGAAGATTATGTGGGGCAGCTGGACTTGCCATATGGATGCGATGCAGACTCTGTTTCGGTCTTGACGGTGCACCAAAACCATGTGGTGCAATGGATTGAGACAGAGACCTGGCTGGATTATCTTGACTTGGTGGAGAGTCAGGCTGGTTGGGAATCGGATATGGTCATGGAGCTGCGGGGACAACACAGGCTTTCGGATGAGGACCTCCATTCCTGGCGGCAATGGGCTGAGCTTACGGTGATGCAGCTACGACGCAGGGAGAGGTCTCGCACGCCACGGAGGGATGCGGATGCGACCTCTCTCATGGAAGGCGATCGATCTAAGCCCAAAGGGAAGGATGACAAGAAGATGGACCCGGAGGCCAAGGCTCGCCCCCGACCGAAGAACCGAGCGGATCGTGCAGATGATGGGGGCCGGAGAAATGATACAGGAGCCTCCAGCAGCACCCGGGCACGAGAAAGGAGCACCCGCCCCACGGGGCGATGTGAAGCAGAGGAGAGGCCAGAGTTGCCCAGATCGCGCCCGCGGGTCACCAGGGAGATTCGCAACTTGGTGCCGCCACGGCGGCCGCGCAGCCCTATGGGCATCCGGGATGCCACCTTGTGGTGGCTGCATACAATGGGGCTCAGGGATGGCCCGGAAACCAACGCGACGAGCGTGCTGCGTCGAGAGGATCATGAAGGACGCCTTGCTGCGGTCCGAGAGGTTCAGCAGGGAGATGTCTTCATCCTCATGGTGGCGCTCTTGCGTGTGACGGCCATGCTTTATGTTGAGTGTTGCCAGTTGATGTACAACCATCCCTTGGTGATGGAGCACACGGCACCGGATGTGGAGGTGGAAGTTGAGGAGGAAGGGGACTCTACGATGTGGATGCAGCAAGGGCAGTCGTGGAAGAAACGCCGCCTGAACACTGCCTCTGCCGATGCTGTGGACATGGATCAGCTCTTGGAGGATGAGAAGGAGGCTATGGAGGACAGGGAGGGACGTGAGGCTCAGCAGGGACAAAGGGAACTCGATGAAGCAGAACACCACCAGCGAGAGCAGCAGGAGGCGGAGGTCCGTGGAGCAGAGTATGCCAGAGAGGCTTACAGGGATTGGGAGCAGTGGCTTGTCTTGAATACGCCTCCGGATGCACCCAAGGCTGTACGATCGAGGTTGCTTGTACAACATGGGGAGTGTAGAGCGGAGGCCTCCTGCACCGTGCCGACAGCGAGGGGTCAACGGTTGGTCTTTCAGTTGGAGGTGGAGGAAGTGGAGAGGACAAGTGTGACTGCGGCTTCAGGGACTGCAGGGATGGAGAATGCCTATGAGACGACGAACGACCATGCGGCTGAGGTGTATACAAAGTGGACGAAAGGAAGCCTGACGGATGAGAAGGCTCAACGGTCGGTGGGTTCGGATATGATGGCAGTGTTCAGGCTGCAGAATGAGTTTGAACAGGAGCTACAACGGGACAAAGGGGCAATGAGCAGTCAAGAAGTACAGTTGGTGGTGGACCCGTCGAGTCAGGATATGAGCAGTGTGTCGAGCCGTGAACCGTGAGAGGGATTGTGACGAGTGGTGAATCAACCACGCCTGCCCTCCCCATGGGGATTTCCGATGAGCAAACGGATCTGCTGGTCGAAAAAGGGGCGCTTAAAAAAAAAAAAACCCTAAACCCTAAACCCTAAACCCCTAAACCCCTAAACCCTAAACCCTAAACCCTAAACCCTAAACCTATTAAAAGCCCCTCCTAGACCTGGACAAAAGCGACTCAAACTCCAAAGCCCAAGAGCCCTGCATTCGAGACTCCTCGACCCCCGGGCGCTTTGAGCCACCAGCCTGGAAGGGGGACCCTGAGCCCTCCAAGCCAGATGTTTAGATGATATAGTATATATATATATATATATATATATATATATATATATATATATATAGGGGCCATGATAATTACCTATACCACTTTGGGGGTTCCTTGTTAGAATTCTAGTATATTGGGCCCCCCAAAACCCATTGATACCAACGATCAAGGCCCTGCATTAGTTTGCATTGTAATCTCCTTATGGACCCTGTCCGACTATACTACAATGACGCATCCCAAAACTCGACTCATCGTTAAGATTTACCCGCACGCTCGGAGATTCGAAGCCCTGGGCCCTGAAGAGCAAAACCAGGCCGTCAAGGACTACCAAATCACGGGAGAAGCGCTTCTATTTTTTGATTTTATGCGCCTTGACTGCTGTTGGAGTTGAGGATTTGGGGTTTTAGGGAATTTAGAGGGTTTACGGGTTTGGGTAGTGCAGAGTTGAGGAGTGTAGAGATTCAGCGTTTAGGGTTCAATTAGGGTTTAGGCTTAGGGTCTCGGGTTTCGGGGTTCACGGGCGCGGGTTTCAGAGCTTAGGGCTTAGTTCCTCCCCTGCCAGTCAAAGGGGAAAAGGAGGGAGACCCCTACCCTATAATGGCCTATATAATGGGTATACAATAGCTATATAAAGGGTATATACCTAGGGGTCCTGATTAAGGGTCCCTCCTTTAATTTTACCTTTGGAGTTACGGGCTGGCTCTCAAGTTGCTCATCGACCCGAAACACAGTACCACTGTTGATGATATAAATCCTGCATTACCCATAATAAGGAATATACCATAATTCCCATAGTTTAGGGTCCTTAAGGTAATGCATGATTTATATCATCCACCGCAGCAACGAAAACTGCGAGTACGAACGAATGTTGCTAGCGACAATGAAGCTGATGCAATCGGAGTAGTTTGCACATGCAGCTAGCTGCGAGAAGTATCAGCACACAGCTAGAGTAGCCACTTGCGGTTGTTCGTCATGAATACGACGAACCACCATTATGATGCGACAGACACGTAACCAATAAGATAAGAGTAGCCAGTACGAAGCAACAAGAGTCGGTTGGTACTCTACCAAGCACTAGTGATTCGTTCCAAGTGACTGATTGCAAATGTCAGTGAATAACGTTTACAGTTGTAACATGAGAGTAGATAAGGTGCTGCCGCGCAACTGAACCCTCTGACAGCAGCTCAGCATACTAACATCTATTGGTTTCCAGCAAATGCTCAGAACTCACTGTATCCAGCAACTGTGAGCTGTATTCCATTCGAGTTGATACGCCGGTGGAAACAGGGTCTTTGCAACACCCAACAATGGTAACACTACCAATAGTAACACTTGTCACACTAGTAGTAATAATTCGATGCTTTCTCTCTTCCCAGAGTAGTCGTGATGCTGGTCATAGTACGTCTACTTGGAGGGGCAGGGGACTTAGTAAGTAGGTTATAAGTAGAGTTATAAGTACCCTAAATGGAGTTACACCGATTATAACCCTGCTTATAACCTACTTACTAAGTCCCCTGCCCCTCCAAGTACAGATTGTGAGCATCGTAGCACTGTCCAAACCCGGAAGCTGGGTCCTTGGCCCTGGCACTCCATGACTCCATGCCACGCTTCTTCCGAGAGAACCCCCCTAAACCCTAAACCCTAAACCCCTAAACCCTAAACCCTTCTGAGAGAACCCAAAGACACAAAGACCCAAAATCGCAACTGAAGGCTCCCCCATAGATAGTCTTTGTCATAGTTGGGTAACATTTTACATTTTTATGGGTACTTGAACCCAATAAGGAATAAAAATGTACATTTTTAATCCTATCCCAACAATGAACTAGGAGTGTTTCGAGTTCAGTAGCGGGTTTTTATGCAGGGTCCCTTGAGGTGTAGGTTCTCTTGGGGTAAAGGTACACGCTACAATGAAGTACAAATCCTTAAAACCCCCCCCTAAACCTCTGACACAAACCCTCAGCCCCAAACTCCTGAACTCTCAACCCTTCTCCTTCTCCGAGGAGCATGAGTCAGAACCCCTTCCAGCCTGGTCAGCGGGAGCGGACGCCACAGGAGCGGTTTTTTTTTTGGGTTCAGGGTTTAGGATGTATCACTGGCTACTTGGAGGGCCATGGATAGTCAAAGATGGGGTTAGAAGTAGGGTAGCTATGATTATAAATTGTAACCCATATTCGGGGACTTATAGCTCTTCTTTATAACTACCCATGAACCTCCAAGTAATTAGAGCGATTGGAAGGCCCCTTGAAGCGACTATGTGTCTAGTCTCACGTAACCTCCGAGCATGCCTTCTTCTTCGTGCCCTCAAACCAAAAAAGAAACCCTAAAGCCTAAACCCAAACCCAGTCAGTGCACTTCAAAAAAACCCAAACCCTAAACCCCTGAACCACAAGGGTTTTCCAGGCTCCCCAGAACTTCGCAGAAGCTCCCAGAAGCTTCCCAGAAGCTTGCTAAGGCCCTCAAAACCCTAAATAACCTTAAACCCTTAACCTTGAACCATGAACCTTCAACCCTTAAACCCTCAACCTTACACCCTAGACGCTAAGTCCTACAGGTGTAGGGGATGAGGGTTTAGGGTTTAGAGACCGGGACGTGGCAGGAGCAGGCCGATTTCCTGAAAGCCATCAACGCCCTGCCTGAGACTCTCTGGCTTTCAAGCCACAGTTCGGGTTTATGGTTTAGGGTTTCTTTCCCAGAGTTTTTTTTCCCAGTGCTCTTAGGTGCCTTATTCACCTGGCTACTTAATACAAAGAAGGGAGCCCATTTTGTTCCTAGGCTGCTGGGGGTCCTGGGCTCATACTCGGGAGCTTGGTGAGTGTATTTGGTCTATATTTGGGCTGTTGCTGGGGATACCAGTAGTGGTAAGAGCCTACATCAGAGGAAGCGAGAAGGGGTACTAGCCCATGAGGGATGGTCATTATGAGAGTGATGCCATATCTGGGGGGCCTTTGGGGGATCCAACATGGAACGTGAATGTTGCGAACCACAGTACAACTCGCAGACCCTCCAGCCTAAACCACCCAAACCCTAGCAGGCTTGTTCAGTGGTACACTCTTTTACTTTCAGGTTTCTGGGCTCCTATTATGAAATAAGAAGCCAAAAAAAAGTATATTTAGTCTCTCCCAGTGGGTTACTGAACAGCCCCGCTAAGCCTGAGCTTTGAAGCCACCTTTTTAGGGGCCTAAGTAATGACCAATGCTATTGGGGTTCCTTATTATAGTTATGCCGCAAAATCCTTTTCTAATTATTAAGGCCCCTACACTAAAGCCTTATTATACCCTTATAGTACCCTTAAAGAAACCCTTTAAAGAACCCTACATACTCTCATTTTTAAGGCCCCTAGACTAAGCCCTGGCGCCCAGGATTTTCTTTACGGGCCCCTAATATAGTACCCTCAATAGTAGGATCCTTATTCTAAGGACCCCCAAACAAGGTACCTCTAATTTCGGAACCCCCCTAAAGCCAGGATTTTCTTTACGGCGGACGCGGTGCTCCACATCGATGGAGACTGGCCCGAGCTCGAGGTCGAGCACCTGCCTCTTGGACGCATGAACCCTATGCCTCCAGGGACGTTATTATGGGGTCCATAAGGGGTCTAGGGCCCTAACTATGAGGTCCCTGGAGGGATAGGGTAAAAACTTTGAGCAGTAAGCCCTCAACCCTAAGCTTTGCCCTAAACCCCTGCACCCTGAAGCCGTATGCCTACACTCCAAACCCGAAGTAGAAGGGCCCGGGTCGCGGTTTAGGGTTTAGGTTTTAGGGTTTCCCAATAAAGATAACTGATGCAGGTAATTTCAGGGGCCTAAATTACCTATACGATTTAATTTGGGAGTTCCCGATTATAACTATGGTATAACATGCGATTCTAATCATTAAGGCCTCTAGTACTTCCATGGCAGCATCGACCCCAAACCGTGAAGGTGCAACTACAGTGGAAACCTAATTACCTACCAATTGGGTAGTTGTCAAAATTATGGTCCGTTCTTGAGTACTTTAAATCTTAGGTGCCGTATCATATTAAGGACCCAAAAGGGGACCATAATTTTGACAACTACCCAATTGCATATCCAGTCTTATTTCCCATGCATCCAATCCTCAAGTGCTTGGGAAACCCAGCACAGCCCTGTTCTGTTTTGTCATATTCCAGAGGGTTTGATCATCATATAATATGTAAGTTATAAGTTATAAGGCCTGTGCGATAGTCTTTAGGGTTTGAGTTATGCCCGTTCCGAGAAAGACGGTTTTAGTGTTCTAAATCCTGAGCCTTGAGGCACGAGATGCTGAAGGAGGAGGACCTTAGCAAGTTCCAGCTCAGAGAGAACGGCACAGTCGTCCTGGCGTACAACCAGTTTCAGGCACCAACGCTGGGAGGGTTAGAGCTGCCATTAAGTAGGGTATCACACTTCTTCGGGCTTTTTTGGCAATATAGATTTTCGGAAGCCGCACAGCCCTGGATTCTAAAGTTTAAACCCTAGACCCTGAAGCCATAAATTCCAAACCTGCACGTTTCAAGCCCCTCGAAAATTTCTGGCTGAGGCGGACGACGGCTCCCTGGCACAGCTGCCGGTCTACACGGTGGAGTCGGTCAATGACGGTCGGCAGGTGAGCATCTGGTTTTTCGATTGGTAAAAGGGCGAGGGCCGAGGGTTTCGGTATTGGGGCTTGGGGGGTTTAGGGTTTAGGGGGGTGTCTCGAGTTTTGATGCTAGAGGCCCATGGCTGCTTTGGGGTCCAGAAATAGAGCAGATGAGAAAGACAGGGCCATTAGTTTGATTTCCGGAGCCCTTTCTGGTTCAAGCCCGCCTTGTGATTCAGCTCTGATCTCACTTCGAAGTCATGGCCCTGCCTATGAAGACCGCTATGAAGAAGGTCATGAAGTCCAGTGCTATGAAGGCCAAGACCACCATGAAAGCCAAGGCAATGAAGGCCATGAAGAAGAAGGCCGTGTCCAAGATCGCAACGGGCAAGCGCGCGAAGTCCGTCGTTTTCCGTGGGAGCAAGGAGAAGACCACCGGTGGCCTCGCGAAGTCTCAGTTGATGAAGAACAAGCGAGGCAAGGTTGTAAGCAAGAAGATGCACGCCAGGGGGAAGACGATCCAGAAGTTCGTGCAGCAGTGGCTCGATGCCGTGATGACGGCCCGGAAGGAGCTCGGAATCAAAGGCTTTTGCGCAGTGGGCGGTAAGAGTGCCCAGGGCAAAGCCCTCTATGCCAAGGCGAAGGCGCTTTATGCAGCATGAGCCCGCAGGGGCGGGGGCACGGCCCGCTTTCGTGGTCATTCACGGAGCGGACGGCCCCTGAGAGCGCCACAAGAGCCAGATGTTGTACAGCTGCTGATCCCTAGGGCTCCAGTTACCTACCCGTAATGTTGGGTTCCTGGTTTATCTGTTTTTGGTTAGGAATCCACTAGTTCAATAACTAGAGCCCTAGGAGTGTAATTACAGAACAGCGGGGAAGCTTCTGACACCACAGTCCAGCCACAGCCCAGAAACAAGATCGTTCCAGAAAGTTCCGGCATTCCGTCACAGATTGAGTGAGACCCTTCCGACTGTGATACCAAGAGCCAGGTGAACAGCATCTCCGACCTCAGCCCAAAGAGAAAGCTCTTCTCGATGCCGAAGCTCGGTGGTTGCTGGGTTTAGGGTTGTTTTGGGGTTAGGTTTTCCTTACAGTAGGGTTTAAGTTTCAGGGTTTAGGGTGTAGGGTTTAGGGCCAAGTTTAGGGTTGTTTTGGGGTTCGGTTATCAGGCTATCTGGAAGTTTTTGTTGCTTATCAGGGTGCGTAAAGCGCTTCACTGAAGTAAAGTTCCATGAGTGTTCTACAAGGAGTCTGATCAGGATTTTCCGGTGTCGCGCTTTATCGGACGTAGGTCTTATCGGGTTTAGGATATGTTATGGTTGCAGCCAGGATTTTAAAATCCTTCAAACAAAACTCCCCTTCGTAAGAAGCACTGCTACAGTACACGTAGCATGAGTGTTCCTGCAACTGAAGTCCTGCCGCAACTATACCCCCACGCAGTTCTCGTAGTTTAAAACCCTACCACCAATTTCAACACTGCACCCTCGAAACCCTAAATCCTGCAGCGTCTCGTACTGCTGCGGCGAAGACTACAGGAAGTTCCTGCGGCCGAAAGCCGTCCTAGCGGAAGCAGAGGATCCGGCCTCCAGGACTTAAACTTACTGCAGTTCAGGGTTTTTTGGGGTTTTAGGGGTTTAGGGGGTTAAGGGGTTGAGGGGTTAAGGGGTTTAGGGCTTTGGGTTTAGGGTTTATATAGGGGGGTTTGGGATGTCCAGCGGTGCCGCCTATAATTCCTTTGAGTGTTTACGGTTCAGGGTTTTTGCAGGATTTGGCGGCCAAACGAAGTTTAGGACGTAACTTCGATGTTCAAAGAATGTGGTGCAGTGCTATGTGGACTGTATATGGCCTTTCAATGTTCTTCGTTGTTTCGGGTTTACGGTTTTCGGGTGTTGGGCTTTGGGTTTCGAGCTGCTGTGGTGCAGAGTTTGGAGACAAATGATATCTATTTCCTTCAGTTTTCAACTAGCCATTGATATTGGGGGAGCTAAGGAGCCAGGGATGATGATAATCCCTATTAAATCAGGATCTAAAGAGCCAAGGGAACCCCCAAAACCACTGGTTAGTCAACTTCACTGGAATATCCCTGCAAGCATACACCCCAATCCATTCCCAGGTTTTCGTGGTCAGGCCTTCTCCGCTTGGCAAGCGCAACCATGTTCCCGCGGATGAGCGAGGCTGGATCTACGCTATACCTGGATAGTTGTCACAATTAGGGTCACTTTGTGGGTACCCTAAACATTAGGTGCCGTGTTATGTTAAGGACCCCAAATAAAGGAACCCTAATTGTGACAACCACCCACCTTGATACAACATTGCCAAAATCCCTATCATAATCCTTGTGAGGCGATGGGGGAACAACAGGTCAACACAAATCGGAAACCCGAAATTCTACCGTCCTAAAGCTTGAACCCAAACCCCAAAGCCTGAAGCCTATGAGCCCTCAACCCCAACCCCTAAAGTCTAAATCCCTAAACCCCTAAACCTACCAGATCCCTAAACCCAAAAACAGTAAACTTAGGGGTACTTAGAAATAAATTCTTAATTTTTGGTTATTATAATCCCTAAGAAACAGCTAAAATTAAAATGTTTGCTAGGGTTCTAAGTTCAGTATACTAAACCCCTGAACCCGTAAAGATCTGCAAGGCTGGATCTACTTCGAGCGCCTCGTGTCCACCATAAGAGTCGCCCTGACGGATGAGCAGCCACCCGATTCGAGGGTTTTCGGGGTTTAGGGGTTCATGATAGGTTTAGGGTGTAGGGGTTTAGGGATTTATGATAGGTTTAGGGTTTAGGGGTTTAGGGGTTTATGATAGGTTTAGGGGTTTAGGTTTAGAGGTTTAGGGTTTGAGGTTAAGCGTTTGCGGTTTGAAAGTTGGCGTTTAGGTTGTATAAGAGCTTTTGGATTCGAAACAGACTCCCAAACCCAAAGGCGCACATCCGAAGCCCCCAGCCCCAGCCCAAAACCCCAAACCCCCAAAGCCACGCTGCACTCCGGACTCCTAAACTCCGTATTCTGCGAAGCTCGGAGCCCCAAAATCTTGAGGTACGCCGCCCGGACTTGCTACTCCAACATCCCCGAGCTGAAGACCTCTATCCTCAATCGTGCCGCCCTGCTGAGGCACCGGTTTAGGTTTAGGGTTTTTGAGGTTTTAGGGTTTTAGGGTTTAGGGTTTAGGGTTTAGGGTTTAGGGTTTAGGGTTTTAAGGTTTTAGGGTTTTAGGGTTTAGGGTTTGGGTTTAGGGTTTAGGGGGCCTAAGTCCCTGACGCCTCAAGCCTCAAACCCTGTATGTTCAATCCTAAACCTTCAGCCATGGAATCCCGCAACCCTTAGCCTTAAACCCTAAAGCGCACAATCCTACACCTTAAGACTCAGACTAGTACTAAAAGTCCCAAGTCCCAAACCCGAAGCCTTAAACCCTAAGCCCTTCAGGCGTGCAGCCTCCACCAGCAATGCAGCCCTGAAGCACCAGTTCGAGACGTACATCTCCGAGATTAAGTTACCAGTCTTCGTCTTCATCGTGGCTTTTTTTCCTCTTTCAGATTTCTTCAAGGTGTTTTTAATAAGGGACGGAAAAAGAGTGTGGTTTTTCGGTTTCAGATTTCTTCAAGATTTCTGTAAGAATTAAGGGACGGAAAAAGAGTTTCCATAAAGGAACGACATGTGTCTTCATTTACGTATGTAATGTTCCTAGGGTTTCAGGACTTTACAGGGGGTTAAATGGTGTCGACAAGGGTTTCTATAAAAACGCATTAACATGAAACAACAACAGCCACAGGTAAGTACAAGAGCAAACAATGATATCAATACGCCGAACAAGTTTGGACAAGACTATTCAGTAACAGTACCTAAATCCTAAACCCTAAAGGCCCCAAAGCCTAAATTTCCTAAACCCTAAATTCCCTAAATTCCCTAAACCTAAAATCCCGAAGCCCTAAAACCCTTAGTTCCCGAAAATCCTAAACCTTAATTCCTAAACCCTAAGCCCTAAACTCTCTAAACCTTAAATTCCCTAAACCTCAGATTCCCCAAGACCCAGGACGAAGACCTTTGCAGCCACCTCTCTGGACAAGAAGAAAGCCTCGGCTGCCACGAAGGTTTCTCGGGGTTTAGGGTTTAGGGTTCTGGAAGTTTTGCATCTTGATGTACTTTCTGTAGCTACTTGGGTTTAGGGTTTAGGGTTTTTTGGGGTTAAGGTTTAGGGATGTAGGGTGTGCTTTCTATAGCTACTATAAATAAAGTTGTTGTCTCCATTTTTGTTACTAATGTTATTACTACTATTATTGCTACTGCCATGAATAGTAGTATATTTATTATGGGTATGTTGGCCTCAAATTCATATGCCCCCTCACCCGATCCCGGAAATCAAGCATGACCCCGTCAATGGTTTCTACAAGAACCTTGGCCCTGTCGTCCGCCCTCCCAGAGTCGCAGAGACAGTCAGCGAGCGTAGTGCCCCTCCCCCCCAATAGTCAGTAACACCACCGCCTGGGCCTGAAATCAATCAGAGAAGGGGGAGGCGGTTGTTGCGAAGTCAGCATTGCCGATCTACTTTCTATAGCTACTCAAGAAGTTGTTATTTCTATGATTGTTAACAAGATGCTATTATGATTAATGTCACTATCGCCACTACAACGCCATTACTACAATGATCGCCACTGTTGTTGTTTGAGATGGATCTCAGACGCCAGGATCCTTATATAGAATCAGGAAGGCCAGGCCCTGAAACCTAAAGCCCAAATCTTCCTTTTTGAACCCCAAACCTTAAACCTTAAACCCTAAGCCGTTTAAATTAAATCCTGGGTTGCCAATCCTGCCATCTTACCTCTACCGCGACCCTGAGCTCCTCCGAAACCCAAAACCCTGCGCCCCTCAAACCTCATCCGTACCTCACCAGAATCGAAAGCGTGAAAGCCATCATTAAGAGCAGAGAGAGAGACAGAGAGACAGAGAGAGAGAGAGAGAGAGAGAGAGACAGAGAGAGAGAGAGAGCGTAACAGGTTCAAGACGTGGATTTGGTCTTCCAGCTTCTCGGTGAGATGCGCTGCCGGGTATCCTTGGCCTTGGCTTTCACCGTAACTCGGTTCTTTCGTAGTGCCGTTTTCTCTTCAAAAAGGAGAAAGCACGGCCTTTTTTTGGGTGCTAAATTGCTATTATCTTTTTTCGTGGTATTTGTCACTAAATTATAGGTATGGAATGAACGGCTAGATTCCTTTTCCTTTACAGACACAGATTTAAGGTGAGATCCCTCAGCATTGAGGACTGCCGAGATCTTGTTGAGGCCAAGGCAGACCTGACCATCCAGGATGGTCGGGGATACACGCCCCTCCACAACGCCGTGAGGTGGGATTTAGGGGTTTAGCTTCGAACAAACAGAATATGTTGCCGGATGTTGTCACACACGCACGGGTTACTCTTTTTGCTCACTATTTTCAGTCTTAGGTACATCTACGCACCGTTGCATACTATTGCTCCGAAGTCAAGATGATGGATCTGCGAAAGGACCTAGCAAGTAGGTGATGAGTAATATAGGCTCTCGCATAGGTTGTGGTACATACGACTTCGAACGGAATCGAATGCTAAGTCCCATGATCCCTAAACCCTGAAGCTGAACCCTCCCACAACCCTGCATCTACGATTCCCCTGAAGAAGGTTCCGCAACGTGGAGACGGTCAAGTTTTTGCTGGAGAGCGGTGCGCGCCAGAGCCTCCGCGACAAGCTTGGCAACACCTGCTTGCACGTTATCCCGCTCTACGCGGATGAGACGACCCTGCAGCTTTGCCGAGTGCTGGGCGAAGATCCCGTGTCGGGGCTTATGTACAAGGAGAACGCCCGAGCTTAAGACCCAAAGCACTCACCCCCGCATCTTTCGAAAATCCCGAACTCGCGAGACTCAAAACGCTAAACCCAAGCCCCAAACCCGAGGCCCTTGACCCTAAACCCTCTACCGTTACCCTAAACCCCAAAAAAGCCATAAACCCCTGAACCCTCAACCCCTAGACCCGAAACGCCCAAAAGCCCTAAACGCTAAAGCGGACCAACAGAAGCGAGCTTGATCCAAGGCCCACTTGCAGAAGAAAAACCGGGCAGGGCTCCAGGCGCTCCAACATCAACGTATGGGGTTTAGGGCTTAGGGTTTAGGGTTTGGGGTTTAGGGTTAGTGCCTTAATAATTAACTAGAATAGGCTTTTGGGGGGCTCTCTTATCATAACTATGGTCACTGTTTTTGTTGGTGTCTTTTACGGGTTTCCTTAAGGTGTTCCTTTAGGGGTTGGTACCGTTTTCGATTGAGAGTTGCTGTAAGGGTTTGAGGGTTTTAGGCCTTCAGGGTTTTAGGCTTTTAGAGTTTCGGGGTATAGGGTTGAGGGTTTTAGGGTTGGGGGTTGGTTTAGGGTTTACGGGTTGAGGGGTTGGGTTTGAGTTTATCGTTTAGGGGGTTTTAGGATGTCTGGTTTAGGGTTTTAGGGTTTTGGGGGTTTTAGTATTTAGGCTTAATTGGGGGTTTAAGGGTTTGGAGGATTGGGGGTTCAGGGGTTTAGGGCTGGGGTGGGTTTAGGGTTTTTGGCAAGGTTCGTTTCGGCCCCTGCATCGCTTTTGCTAGCGGTAGATGGTGCAATAGCTGCAGCGCAGCCTGACCCCTTAATTTCCAACCTGCACCGTTTGGGGTTGGGTTTAGGGTTTAGGGAGTGCTGGAGTTGGATCTATATCCTGAATCAGGACCCAATCTCTCTATACCTCACGCCCAAATTGCCAAAGCCAGAACTTGAGCCCTATTACAGCGGCCTTCATACTTTTGATAGGGTTTTGGGGTTAATTATACTATAACCAGTGTAGCAAGGAACCCATCGACTCGGCTTCAACTCCAAGTACCTGAAGCCGAAGTCTTGCTCTTCTACGCCCCTCCAAACTGAGTAGGAGTAGTAGTAGTAGTAGTAGCAGCACTAGTAGCAGTAGCAGTAGTAGTAGTAGTAGTAGTAGTAGTAGTAGTAGTAGTAGTAGTAGTAGTAGCCCTGTAGAATGCGAACATTCAACCTCGAAGCTCAGCCTCACGTCCAAAGCCTTCCGACGTGAAGCACCAAATCAAGCCCCAGACACTCCAGATCCGAACCTCTTGAAACTCTATATACCTTAAATCATTAGGGGCTTCATATGATGATTTAAGCAATATTCCCTAATTAAGAAGTGTTGAGCCTTCTGGGTTCGGATTTGATAAACCCTACGCCCCGAAGCCAGGTAAAACGCTTTAAACCTGTTGATTCTGATTCCTCAATAAAACCATGTAAAACCCTTTAAGCCCCCTTTACTTGACCTTTGAAACCCTGACAAGCCCTAAGCCAAAACAGTCTAAACCATACAAGTCAAACCCTAAACCTTAAGCCCCGAGCCCAAAACCTTAAGCTACAGCTCTTGAAGGTGCTCCAGCGACTGGAAGCTTGGGCCCTGACGGCCGTAAACGGCGGGCCCTACAATCCCGTGCTGGACCGGGCTTACGTGGGTTTAGTGCCATCCAAGATTACTTATATAAACTATTTTGGAAGTGTCTTATTACAGTTATAGTATTATAAACTGCAAAGCCCTATTCTAGTTATTACGTCCCCGACATTAGGGTTTTGCTTTGGAGATCAAGGCGTAGGGTTCGGGGTGGTTGGAGCAAGATCTTAGGTTTCGGGTTTGCATAGGGTCGTGTATGCAATACTGTTGTAATTATGGTTATGATTACGACGATCATCCTCTATTACATTTTCTTCAATAGGTAGGATTTTGCAGGGCTTGTATACAAGTTTTATAGAGTTTTGCAAGGCTAGGGTTTTGACTTTTTTCAAAATTGAACCTGTATGGGGTCTAATGTCCTAGCTGAGGCAAGGCATCCAAACCCTGTCCTAAGAGTTTAGTGTTTAGCATAGAAGCCTCGAGAATTGCCAACATTATCCTTCGGGTCCCCCCCAGTATTGGTATACTCTATCAAGCAGCCCGAAACCCTATTCAAGGTGCTGATGCATTAACGCCCCCGTATTAGAGTTTCCAAGCCCCGCCAGGATTGGGTCAAACAGCAGAAGACGGAGTTCCCCTTCCTTTCCGAGCAGGTCCGCCGGGAAAACCATGAGTTCCCGTCTCCATATCTATAGTTACTACAGTATATGACTATAGTTCAAGATATCATGCATGGAACTGTGCCAGCGCTAATGGTCAATGCAGCTCCGATGGGATACTTGCAGCAGCCATTATGCTAATGGTTTTGACGATCGCAACAGCGGCAATGCTGCGTATGTGCTAGAGCTGCTATCCGTAAGTCGAAGATGCAAGAACAGAAACTTAGTACTAAATGTATCTGATTAACTATGAAACCAGTCGCCCTCGTCGTCCTCGTCGTCGTCGGGGGAGCGGAAGCTGCAACAGTAGCAGGAGCAGCAGCTGCAAGGGTGGACAATGCGGGATCACTGCTTTACATGTCCAGAGAGAATAGCACTCCTCTCTGAATCTGAATCCCTGAAACATAAACCCCAAAGCCACAAACCCTCGAAGACTGAATCCCTGCAGCATGAATCCTAAGGCCTGGCCTGACACACAAACTGCAGGTGAAGGCTAACAGCTGAATTTGCAGGTGGGCCTTTACCCATAGGCCCCATAGTAGTTCCTTTTGGGGTTCCACATGTATAAGGTACTCCCAAAGAGGAACTACTATGGGGCCGACGGGTAAAAACTAAGACAGGATATTCCAGCGTAGATCCTCCCACGGTGATCCACGACCCACTATGCGACTTTGGACTTTGCCAGGGTTTCGAAGGCAAGAAAGAGGCCGATCTGTCGGAGTTTACTTTTGGGGCCTAAACAAATACCAATACTATCTTGGGGGTTCCTGATTATAATGATAGTATAATCGCCCCCCCAAAACCTAATAATGATTGAGGCCCCCCTATATTTACAATGAACCACTATGCAGCGCATGACGGCGGGAGCGCCAATTTAAAGGGTGCGCTCGCGGGTGTGCCGCGTGCGCAAACTCACGAATATTCACTTCTTGTGACATTTTGCGTACTCACTTGGACGGATGTACCAAGTATCATTGAACTTCGGACCCCCCAAACCCTGCAACTCAAACTCGAACCAAACTTCGGAAATCCCTGAACCGGCACTCCTCCCCTAAACCCTAAACCCTCAACCCTAAACCCTGATTCTTTGTCTGAGGCCAAGAGCAAGAAGAATCCGGCTCGATCGGATCGCTTTCAGGCCCTCGATAGAGTTTAGGGAATTGAGGGGTTGAGGAATTGAGATTTATTTCTGACGCACTAGCAACGGTCGTCGAGGCCCCAGAAGTCTGCAGGATCGACTGGCGAGTCAAAGACAGAATGTAGGGGCCTTAATCATTACCTATACTATTTTGGGTGTATAATGGCCCCGAATTCTTATTCTAGCACAGATATATTAAGGCCACTATATAAAACATCCTCAACGCTCCCCGATTCTTGAAACTTTACATCGGGCCAGAGTGGTCTTCCCAAACACGAAACACAACATGGGAGTTTCGAAAAAGAAGGAGTACCTTAATTTGGTGGTCCTTGTAAACATGAAGACCTTACTATTTAGGAGCTATATTAGGGTTCCCATTTTCGGAACCCTCATATCAGCTACAGCTTGCAGCAGGGGTAGCAGAGTCGCACACAGCCGGAGGGACATATCATTCGATGTGGTATGCGGTCTGAGATGATACTATGGCCTCTGCGATTGTCTTCGAAAACGAACCATGGCAGTTTATCTTGACAATACTGACACGGAAGCCTCTAAACCCTAAACTCTAAACCTAAGCATACGGACTCAGAAGCCTCATGTACGAAGTCCTCCGTGGCTGCTTGAGGAGATGAGTCTTGGAGACGGGTACTCGGCACGTGCCAGATCGATAGATGGGTAGAGAGAGAGAGAGAGAGAGAGAGAGAGAGAGAGAGAGAGAGTGAGAGACGGAGTGAGAGAGTGAGAGAGTGAGAGAGTGAGAGAGTGAGAGAGTGAGAGAGTGAGAGAGTGAGAGAGTGAGAGAGTGAGAGAGTGAGAGAGTGAGAGAGTGAGAGGGAGGGAGAGAGAGATATAGAGAGGTTAGATAGGTAGACAGATAGATAGGGAGGTAGGTAGTAGGTAGTAGGTACATAGATACGTAGATAGGTTGGTCAGTGTATCTCAGTCAGTACAGTGCCTGCTTAGCGTGTTTGTGTCAATCTTCGCTGCCAGGTGACCACCTACTGCACGACAGTGTTGGTTCGGACACAGGAAAGGACGGTTCACGTGGTGGAGCCGGAGTTCACCCCGCTCTGCCGCCCGAAGCAGTCTCGAAAGCCTAAGCCCCGTCAAGTCTCAAGCCATCCTGAACCCCATACCCGAAGCCCTAAATGCAAATGAGCGTTAAATCGAAAACCCAAAGCCCCTGAAGCCCTGAACGTCCGGAAAACCTCAATGCCGAGGTCACGTCGTCTACCTGGGTCTCGCTCGATTCATCCCCTTCTCCCTGCAGCTTCCGGCGCTGCAGCGCTGGGCCGGAGCGCTGGGGGTCAAGGCATCTGGGTGTAGGGTGTGGGAGTGTGGGTTTGGAGGATGTTCGTGGGTGAAGTTTTGGGGTCTTTGAGGTGTCGGGTCTAGCTACCTTCGAAGATTCATGGAAATTCTTGCGGTAATTCACGATAAAATGCCCAAGCGTTGTACCGAACGCAGACAGCACGAGCCCGAAATCCAAACACCTTCATCCAAAATGGAGCCTCTGAACCCTGGTCCCCAAACCCTAAATCCCTGAGCTTTGGAGTACCATACTTTGATACTTTCTTCTTAAAGGAAGCATTATAAAATAAGAAAAGTTTATACTCTTTTCTCCCTGGTTACTTCAAAAACCCTAGGATCCGAAGTTAAAACTACCCAGAGGCCCCGTAGTAGTTCCTTTTTGCGATGACCTCATGGGATTCTATATATGAATCCCAAAAAGGAACTAGTTTGGTGCCTTTGGGTAGCTCCGCAGGGCAGCGCGGCCTTCATCCGGAACAGCTGTAGCCCAGCAGTAGAGGAAGTAACCTTCAATCACTTCTAGGACCCAGAGTAGGCCCTTGTTCCCCTTTTTTAGGGTTTAGGTTCCCTTATAACACCCTTTCACCCAAAAAGGGCACTCTTTTTATTCCTGGGTTAGTCTTAAGTCTAGGCTTTCTGGTGCTGCACTCCCTCCCAAAAAGAGTGACCCCAGGTTTCCCTGGACAGCCATGGTCAGGGTTTAGTGTTCGGGAAGATGTACCTCGCAAGTATGGCGCGGTTCCGTCGTGCGGAATCCTGAATCAAACCCTGAAGCCTAATTCGAACCCTCGGTGAACCCCGAACTCTCGTAATTGTAAGCTTAACCCCTGCTTTAACCATGCAAGCCGTGAGTCCTGGACTAACTCCGAGACCCAGCACGTGTTTCACTTGGTCATAGTCGCTGCAAGCATGAGTAGTAATTTCTCATCAACCGTATTTGATACTGTAGGATGTAGGCTGTACTAATGAGGATGTGCATCAGCGGCAGGAGGAAGAGTAGCGGTAGGGGCAGTGGTAGTGGCAGTGGTAGTGGTAGGGGTAGTGGTAGTAGCAGTAGCAGCAGTAGGAGCAGCTGCAGCAGCAGCAGCAGCAGCAGCAGTAGCAGTAGCAGTAGCAGTAGCAGTAGCAGCAGCAGTGGCACAGTGGCAGTGGCAGTAGTAGAAGCAAAGATAGAAATTGAAAGCAGCAGCGGAGGTCTAGTTAGGACTTGAAGGGAAGCGACGCTTGCAGCTAGCAGCAGCAATGGTTCGTAACATAATCACCTACATGTGTACCAATCCTCTTTTGGGGGTTCCTTATTGTGAATTTGGTAAAATGGCCCCCGAAGGCCCCCCTATACTCAACCTTTACAGTTACCTTATAGTATCCCTTAGGTTGAACCCTTTAAGGGGTCCCCTATTCTAATTATTCAGGCCGCTATATTATAGTCCCCTTATAGATCCCTTATAGTAGCCCTTATAGGCCCCTTTAAAGCAACCCCATTCTTATGATTCATACCCCTAGAATACTCCCTGCAGGTCTGGGCGATCTGTGAGGATTCCGTCGATCCCGAGCTCATGAATGGAAAGGATCCCGAGGCTCACTAGGGGCTCCCCTGGCCCGCCCGAGCCCTAAGCCGTAAGGGTTTGGGATTTAGGGTTTAGGATTTGGGGTTTAGGGTTTAGGGCTTAGGGTTCTGGGTTTGGGGGTGTAGGGTTGGTTCTGGGTTTGGGGGTTTAGGGCTTGCAGGGTTTAGGATTTAGGGAGCCCCAAATCTTTAGCGACCCGAAAAGGAGATGAGCAACAGCATTTATAGGGATATCCTTACTTTATTGGGCGTCATTATAAGGGGGGGCTACATGGGATATCCCTATCCTGAGGTTTGCTTATGTACTTGTTTTGGGGCTCCACTCCACTTAAACCCGACACCTCAACCGTAAACCCTGAAACTCTACAGACTCCACACTCCAATTGGTGTAGGGTGTCTCAAGGCTGGCAAGCTAACTGAATGTGTTAGTTATCGAGTGTAGAAATCTTGTTTTACGGGTGTCGGGTAAGGAGAAGCCCTACTAAACCCAACAGCGCGGTTTTGAGCAGGAAGCCATGCTGAAACCAAAGCCCTAAACTCTCTCGCGACTCCCTCGGCCCGCAAACCTCCAAGAATCTGAGTTCCAGTTATACAAGCCCCCAGAGCCTGCAATGAAAGGCCCTAAACCCTAAACTGTGGAAAGGCCTTCCAATCCGATCTGGCCCTTGTCGTGGAGGGCCTGTTGCCTTCCTTGCCGGCAAAGTTTGTGCTCGTCGACAGCAGCTGGGGACCAGGCACAGGATCAGGGATGGGGGATTCCGAAGGTTCAGGGTCTAGGATTTAAAGGTCGATTTCCAAGCTGTGACTAAGAAATTGGTTCAGGGTTTAGAGTTTACGAATATTTAGTGTATATTGCATTATTTTATTGTATTAATTCAAATTCGATTCATAAAGCAGAAGTGGCTTGAGGGGCTTAGGGCTTGGTTGCGGGTCAAGGGGTTGCGTCTAGGCACTGGAGCAGACTTTGCAGTTCCGAGTAGCCAAAGGACCCAACAGGTGCAACCTGGAAGCCTTCATGATCAGTAGTACCAGCCCTTAAATTGTCTTATCGTATCTCTTGTCGGATGTAGGGGACCTCTTTTTTCTGACCCCCTGCATCTTTTTTTTGATCCCTAACCCCGGGGCAGCCCCGCCCCCTCCCCCTGCCAGCCCCAGTGTGCTTCCTATCTGCAGTTCAACCCCCTATGTCTTTTTTCTGACCCCCTATGTCTTCCCTCAACCCCCCTAGATTTACCCTTATCGCGATGCCGATCTCGTGGGTCACCCCGTTTTATCTGTTGTTTGACCCCGGAAGTCCTTTCCCCGACCCGGCCGGCCGTTGCGGTGCGCACCTGTCGGATGGAGTCCAGGGACCTTTCAAACAGCGCCCTCCCCGACCGGCAAGAGGGGTTCAATCGACCTCTGTGGGGGGCTTCGCACGACCCCTGAGGCAGCAGGAACAGAAGAACCTGGGGCGCCAAAGTACCTTTAAATAACCAGCGCTTTTCGATTTTGCTACGCTTTCGGGGTGGTGCCGGGAATTTGTTCGTACTAGAAAAGAAAAGTAGCGCTTTTAGCTAAACCCCTAAAATCATCCCAGGGCATGCTAGTGTCGAGTTGAGACTTGGTGTTGAAAGGGTTTTTCGCGAAAGGGGCATGGAATAAGCTGCAGGTTTCTGCTGCATCGCGGCCATATAGCGCATATAGTAGTGATGGAGATGCACCCACCAAGCCGTTTAACCATAATCTCGACAGCTCTAGTAACCTATGTGGTGTTTGCTTTGTGTACGATTCCCCTTTGTCTGAGAGTCCTGTACAAGTGGTGCGGAAGGGTCCTGCAACAATTGTTACGTGAAGATTCCACATCCTTTGCTGGATCCCGTACTCCAGACACACACAGATCGTTTGGAGAAGTTCTATGCGCAGACGTTTTGGTGCAACGTGGAAGTTTTCAGGTGCTGTCAGGCTGCCATTGCCATTGCCAAACGGGGATGCAACGTGGACAGATGAATATCTCCTGGCGGCATGGGTCAGAGCTTGTACTCTCTTGATTTGTCGGAGATGTACAAACATAACCACGTCTACTTCGACCCCAATATCTGGTACCTGGACGAGGAACTCCGCAAGCAAGTCGAGACTTTCGCAAGATCCTTCATCATGACAGGACAAGAGGCACCAGAGAGCAACAAGAAGCTTCACATTGACCTCTACAAAAAGACCATTTCCGCTGATGGAATCATGGGGCGCAAGCCGTATGGCCGTATGGATACAGCACCAAGATGTTCCATACAGTTGGATGGACTAGGCTCGAAGTCAACCGGATCATGAAGTTTACAGGCGTCGGCAACAGTACGTTCAACTCCATGTTCCGACGTGCCCTGGTGTGGAAGGCAAAAGCTCGTTTTCTCCACAAGAAGTTTCTCACTGCTTATGAGGATCATCAGCTTGACGGCATCTTCGAAGCAGACCCGAGTCTCAACAAGTTCCTGACCACATCTCAGGCTTCCATTGCGGGTCTGCGTCTCCAGTGGGCATTCGAAAGAGACCACAACAAGGCGGACTGCTACCAATTGATTGAGGATTACTGCTACGGGGGGGATGGATATCTGTAAACTTCGACAACGACAGCAGAACGTGCAAGAAGGTCTTGCAAATATGCTGGAAGCGGACGCTGACAGCGAGGCGGAGCGACAGGAGAAAGACACCACTTGGGATAACCTGCGAGAGTACATCATGCATCAGATGCTTGACAAAGGCCTGGAAAGCATGACCTTCTACGAGTTCAAGAAGTTGAAGCTCGATGCAAAGGACCATCCCAATCTCTCAAAAAGTGATATCTGGGATAAGCTGCTGAACCGGAACATTGTTAGATCGGCCCCAGAAGACCAGCCCCTCCGACTGCCAAGGAGGTCAACCTGTCCCTGCATCAGGACCCATCCCTTGCAGTCCGTTTCCAACAGCAGGTGATTGCACTCATGCCGCCCAATGTGGCAGGTGACCCAGCACAGGTGCTTAATCGCGTACTGCATCAAGCCTGGCAGGAGGCTAAGCCAAAAGCCCCTCCCCTGCTTCGGCGCCGCAACCGGACACACTGGGCCTTATTAGACAACTATGGGCCGCGCGCAGACAGCACGCTCAGCCAACTCACTCTGTGCTCCGAGGATGGTTCCATACTACTCATCTCAAGAGAATCCAGAGGCTTCCCCGCAAGGCCTGCATAGCCAAGAAAAGGAACCGGGCTGATGCCTTGTTGCAGGAAGCTGAGGCTTCCACACAGCCATCAGCGATCTACAGTGTAGTCCGAAGATTAGCACTTAAGACCAGGCCCTTACGCATTCAGCTACGGGACAAAGAGGGCAGACTTCTAGCGGGAGTAGAGGAGGCGGAGCAAATCGCAGGATTCCTTCGTCAAGTCTTTGGCAGTCAAGCCATCACGGAAGCTCCGAAGTATGCTGACTTGCAGGCCGTTCAGTTTGAGGAACTAGAGTTACTGCAAACTCTCAAGCGGCTGGGGGGCAACAAGGCTCTTCTCTCCATCTTTGCACCAGCCAGCCTGTGGAGACTGGCTCCGCAACAAGTTGTCCCGGCACTTCTCCCCACCATGAATCAGGCCTCCACATGCATGGACCCAAGCTGGTATGATGTCCAACTCCACCTCATCGCCATCACCACCCATGGACATCCCATCATGCAGGCCTGTGCGAATGAAGCGAAGACCGGTGGACCAGGAGGACACGCCCTCCTTTGTCGTGTCTGCTGGTCGCAGAGATGCTGGGGATGGACTATCAGCATGAAAACGTTGGTGCGCATCCCTTTTTTGTATTATATAATAAGGTCGACTGTCAAATCCGAGCCCGATGAGTTTGTCAGCCTGGCTGCCACAATTCCCGGTGAAGCCTGGTGGGATAACCTCGCACGGGAACTCCTACTCAGATTAGACTGACTGCATAGCGACGTTCTGTCCTCCACTGCATAAGGCCGAACACGAGAGCTACTGCCGCCTGGAACTGGCGTGTCAGTATGAGTCAGTATGAAGACAGACAATGATCCTTGGTTGTACAAACGGTTTCATAACCAACTGCATGCTATTCCAGTTTATACATCATGTTGCTGCCAAGGGACTGGATTCTCCCATGTGGGGCGGAAGTACAGCAGAACAAGTCCCCATAGATACTCGGCATATAACTGTGCGAATAAGCCGGTTGTACTCGTTACTGTCTGTATGCGATTACTGAGAAGCCGAGGTGACAGCATCATCCTGCAAATTGCATCTGCCGGACGACATCCAATGTGATCCTGCAATCACCAGCCACGAGGAGGACACTAACACGATCCCTCTTTGTATTCGCATCATTGTCCTCAGACATGGCAGGACCAAAGGTCCTTCCCGCATCAGGAGATTGGCCTGCAAGCGGATGCCGAGGTAGAACCATGTACTTTACAGTCAAAATGCGCAGAATGTGCTACATGCTTATATTGCCAAGGACGCAGGATGCAGTCAGTCTACTTTTGTTCGAGCCCATTGCTGCTGACATGCGCGTGAATGTGAAATGCAGCTCTTCTACATTGTCCACACACGGCAGCTTGTGACTGATTTCAGCAGAATATCGTGTGGGTTCTAGATAGTCCGTGTGTATGTAGCTACACGATGACCCTACACTGAGTCTGCAGTCCGAGGCATTGACCATGGCAGCAGACTGACACAGACATGCCTGACTGATACCATCAGGGCGCTTGGTGTCAAAGTTCCCTACGAGCGCAGTGGCCCATGCTGGGCGATTCATGACGGCTCCAGCATGTTGGCGCCGTTCGGGCGTCTCTCAGTGCATACAAGACTTGACAGATCCTCATGTTTGCCCTAATGTACATGTTGATTCTGCTGCTCTGAGGTATACCATCACGCACGAGACGGATGTAGATTTCAAGACGGCTGGATTGTACATACTTCTTTGCCGAGACTGCCACTTTCGAGGCTTGCGCGTTTTCTCAGATGGAATCAGTTACACGAAGCCACAGGACAGGCGACAATATCACAGTCACACCGCAGATGGTGTAAGCCGCATCATGGGAACGTACGTTCAAGCTCCATCCGAGCAGATACGGGCTTAAGTTCATGGAATCAGAAGATCCCTGCCACGATTTCCTTGGTGGAGCGGTGGCTTGGCGGCATCTGATGTATCACTTCTCGGCTCGGACTTCAACTCTATGTTAATATCGAATGTTGGTATGTCTTATCAGGCTCCGTCTCAGATGGATGTTGACGAAGTGATTGGAGAACGCAACACGGCCTTATTGTGCTGTCATCGTTCCAGGCTTGAGGAACCCGGCAGTGAAGTCTATTGCTTGAAGCCAACGTGCGGTGTTTGTTCCCGCGATGTAGTTGAGGCGGATGGGGAGGGCAACTGGAGTCAATTGTCGGGGCCGTCTTGCGAGAAGAACCTCGTCGTCCGGTCACCTTCTATCTCGCTGATTGGAAGCGAAGTGAGAAACTTCAAGATAAGTACAATGGGTTCGACCGCTACATGAATCCGCCTCTACAGAACATTGCGGATTGTCAAGGATACCATCCAGACTGCAGCTCAACATGTACAAGTGGATACTCCAGACGTATTATGGCATCAACGTCCTGGCCATGAAAGTCGTGTGTGTTCATTCCAGGTACCTTCCTGGAGGCTTCGTGGACGATGTGCCGGACCTACAAGCGGAAGTCGGCAAACTCATGCAATGCCTTCGAGACCAGCGACTCGCCAGGGACATGGAGCAAGACTGAATCTCAGCTTCATGAAGTTCCTGCTGCTCAGCCGCCTCCTACTGAACTTGCAGACACGCAGCCCTTTGCTGCGGAATTGCCATCGCAAAGATCACATCCTGATGATCTGGAGCAATGGCTTGAGGAGATTATGGACGAAGAAGAGAGGGTTGCTCCAGCGGCAGCCAAGAAGCGACGTCTTATACCAGGAGCTGATACACATGTTCTTCGATGTCAGAACCTTTTCGCCAGGTCTCATACCATTCTGTCCGACACACGGGATGCTCTTGCGAAGGATGTCTGTTCGCTGCCCAAAAGCATTTTGCACAACACGAATGAGATGCTTCGTCAACTACAGCAGAACTTTCCCAATATATCAGATGAGATCCGGCGGCTTAGGGTTTCTCTACATTTACGACGATGATGGATGCTTTCTTCCGTTTGGCGGAATCCCGCCTGAGGCTGTGCTCGATCGTGTACACCACTTCTTCGTGTGGCTAGAAGGTATCTTCAGACGAATGAGACAAGTGACAAGAGATAACTTGAAAAACCGAAACAGTTGCAGCAGCTATCGTGGCAGATCTACAGACGTTTGAATCGGAGCAAGAATTTCTGTCAGCTTGTCGTGCAGCTACCAACCGGCGAATGCGGAGTCCAGTATATACTCCCAGATTGGATGAAGCAGATGCAATCGAGACTGCAGCTATGCATCAAGAAGTTCAGGCCGCGCGGCCCAGGAACCAGAAGCAAGCTGACGATGCACAATCATGGACTTTGGCTATTGCAGACAAATGCTGGAAGCTGTCCGGCACAGTGAGACTGGAATTGATGCAAACAAGGATGATATCCTTGCTGGTGGAATGGTGCGAGACAGAGGATCAGAGAGCTGCGTCGGTGTGCTATGATGATGCTTGCTTTGTGTACGATTCCCGTTTGTCTGAGAGTCCTGTACAAGTGGTGCGGAAGGGTCCTAGCAACAATTGTTACGTGAAGATTCCACATCCTTTGCTGGATCCCGTACTCCAGACACACACAGATCGTTTGGAGAAGTTCTATGCGCAGACGTTTTGGTGCAACGTGGAAGTTTTCAGGTGCTGTCAGGCTGCCATCGCCATTGCCAAATGGGGATGCAACGTGGACAGATGAATATCTCCTGGCGGCATGGGTCAGAGCTTGTACTCTCTTGATTTGTCGGAGATGTACAAACATAACCACGTCTACTTCGACCCCAATATCTGGTACCTGGACGAGGAACTCCGCAAGCAAGTCGAGACTTTCGCAAGACCCTTCATCATGACAGGACAAGAGGCACCAGAGAGCAACAAGAAGCTTCACATTGACATCTACAAAAAGACTATTTCCGCTGATGGAATCCTGGGGCGCAAGCCGTATGGCCGTGTGGATACAGCACTAAGATGTTCCATACAGTTGGGTGGACTAGGCTCGAAGTCAACCGGATCATGAAGTTTACAGGCGTCGGCAACAGTACGTTCAACTCCATGTTCCGACGTGCCCCAAGAAGTTTCTCACTGCTTATGAGGATCATCAGCTTGACGGCATCTTCGAAGCAGACCCGAGTCTCAACAAGTTCCTGACCACATCTCAGGCTTCCATTGCGGGTCTGCGTCTCCAGTGGGCATTCGAAAGAGACCACAACAAGGCGGACTGCTACCAATTGATTGAGGATTACTGCTACGGGGGGGATGGATATCTGTAAACTTCGACAACGACAGCAGAACGTGCAAGAAGGTCTTGCAAATATGCTGGAAGCGGACGCTGACAGCGAGGCGGAGCGACAGGAGAAAGACACCACTTGGGATAACCTGCGAGAGTACATCATGCGTCAGATGCTTGACAAAGGCCTGGAAAGCATGACCTTCTACGAGTTCAAGAAGTTGAAGCTCGATGCAAAGGACCATCCCAATCTCTCAAAAAGTGATATCTGGGATAAGCTGCTGAACCGGAACATTGTTAGATCGGCCCCAGAAGATCAGCCCCTCCGACTGCCAAGGAGGTCAACCTGTCCCTGCATCAGGACCCATCCCTTCCAGTCCGTTTCCAACAGCAGGTGATTGCACTCATGCCGCCCAATGTGGCAGGTGACCCAGCACAGGTGCTTAATCGCGTACTGCATCAAGCCTGGCAGGAGGCTAAGCCAAAAGCCCCTCCCCTGCTTCGGCGCCGCAGCCGGACACACTGGGGCCTTACTAGACAACTATGGGCCGCAGGCAGACAGCACGCTCAGCCCCCGCGAACTCACTCTGTGCTCCGAGGATGGTTCCGTGCTGCTCGTCTCAAGAGAATCCAGAGACTTCTCCGCAAGGCCTGCATAGACAAGAAAAGGAACCGGGTTGATGCCTTGTTGCAGGAAGCTGAGGCTTCCACACAGCCATCAGCGATCTACAGTGTAGTCCGAAGATTAGCACCTAAGACCAGGTCCGTACGCATTCAGCTACGGGACAAAGAGGGCAGACTTCTAGCGGGAGTAGAGGAGGCGGAGCAAATCGCAGGATTCCTTCGTCAAGTCTTTGGCAGAGCCATCAAGGAAGCTCCGAAGTATGCTGACTTTCAGGCCGTTCAGCTTGAGGAACTAGAGTTACTGCAAGCTCTCAAACGGCTGGGGGACAACAAGGCTCTTCCCTCCATCTTCGCACCAGCCAGTCTGTGGAAACTGGCTCAGCAACAAGTTGTCCCGGCACTTCTCCCCACCATGAATCAGGCCTCCACATGCATGAACCCAAGCTGTCATGATGTCCAACTCCACCTCATCGCCATCACCAACCATGGACATCCCATCATGCAGGCCTGTGCGAATGAAGCGAAAACCCTGTCCCAGCGCGAACCTATATACGTAAGTACCCGATACCAATTCTGTGCTGCGCGAAAGAACGCGAAGCGACCCCAAGGAACGGTGTGCCATCACCATCCATGGATATCCCATCACGCAAGCCTGTGCGAATGAAGCGAACCAGTGCGCATGCCTGGAAGAAGAGCAACCTGCCTGGAAGGGTGAAGGGGTTATTATTGAGGCACAGTCTGCGCCTCGTTCCCCCATGAAGTGAACCCGTGCGAACGCCTGAAAGAAGGGGCTGCGCGCTCCCCAATCCTTTCAGCGGGTTTGCAAGGCCACCCACCAAGGAATGGCGTGCCATCACCAACCATGGACATCCCGCCATGCGAACTTGTGCGAATCCTGCGAACCCATTCGATTGACTGAAAAAAGGCTGCGCGCAACCCACCCGGGTGCTTAGCCAGGTCGTGTAATCAGTTTTTTGTGTAAGGAGGGGTGAAATTTTCCAGATATTGTAGCTTGTGGCGGGGGGCTTATTTGTTTAGGCTCTGGCCTGCCTGGCTACAGGAGGGTCAAAATCAAGACAGTAGGGGTCAAACCAAAGATACGGGGGTCAGAAAGAAGTGGTTCAGGGGTCAGAATGCAGATGTTCAGGGGTCAATAAAAAGATCGGGGGTCAAAAAAAAGACATAGGGGGTCAAGAAAAAGACATGCCCAACCCCATCAAGTCATCCCAAGACCCTGTTCTAGATATGAAGGCCACTGCAGCAATTAGCTCTGCCCTCCTGTCTATATGGGAATTTCAAAACTAGGGGTACCTTGTTTCGGGGTCCTTATAAAGGAATCCTACTATTTAGGGTACTATACTAGGGTCCCCTGTTTTCGGAAACTCCAATATCCTTATTGTTTCGATCCTTGCAGCAGAACTTGACATACAACCATAGGACCTAGAGTAGGCCCGTATTTCCTTGGTTTAGGGCTCAGGTTCCCTTATAAGCCCCTTAATCCAAAAAGGGCACCTTTTTTTCCTGGGCTACTCTTGGGTCTAACAGAGCATCATTCAATGACCAAAGTCAGTTGCACTGGTGGTGTTGCTGCTAAAGAAACTATTTTGGGGGTTCCCTATCATGAATAATAGCATACTGGGCCCCAAGACCCTGCTCTAATTATTGAGGCCCCTATTGATTTGTTTCGCCAAACATACCAAATGGCCGAAGCGGCATCTGACTCCCTGTAGGCACCTCGCTTCTGTGGAAGTTTAAGAAGCACTTGCAGAGCGCCATGATTATCAACGCGCACCTCTTCAAGGCCCAAGAGCTGAAGCGGCAATCGAACCCGTATGTAGATATGTGCATATGCAGACATGTGCGACCAGTTGTACTTCATGGTTTTCCAGACCGTTGTCATAGTTCCTTGCGTATTGCTTTAGTTTTGTATGTATGTATGTATGTATGTATGTTTGTATATATGTATGTGTGTATACATGCGCACGAACGTAGGTACGCAGCGAGTGTCTCATTGAGTACATATGCAAGCATACATACACATACATAAATACATACATACATGCGTACATACCTAGCTAGCTAGATAGCTAGGTAGCCTGCTCCGTACGAACATTCATTCATTCAGACATACATACGTCCATCGTTGACTACAGGCCTATATACGTACATACTTACATACCTACGTACATACCTGCGTACATAACTACGTACGTACATGTACACAGACGCGCAGACACCCAGAGACGCATGCATGCATACACACATGCATGTATGCGTACAGGCTTGCAGGCATACATCATATTTTGCATGCGTACATGCATGTTTGCAAGCTCAAGCTTACATATACTTACATGTAATTCGACAGTTACGCTTACGTATACATGTGTTTACATGTAGTCACAAATGGTTGTTCATCATGAGCGGCCAGGGTCTCAGACCTACTCTAATATTTGCTGCTTCGCTCAGGCACCTGACTTCGATGATACAGAGGCAGCGTGGAAAATCAAGACCCGGATGAGACAGCTTGGCGACATGTTTGAACGTCGTGACCTGGACAATATCTTGGGGGTGCTCCCAGACTTTATGTACCCGACGGGCGGCGCAGATGGGGTGGAGGCGACAAAGAAGGCCTATGCGGAGGCACTGTCTTCGGCGTCAGAGAAGTTTTGGAAGCTCTCGGCGCTGCAGCCCTCGTGGAATTTCGATCACCTGACCACCATTCTGAGTTCGCAAGAGGAATGGCACATTGACTCGCCGCCTGTGGTGTTGGCCTGCAGTGATCAAGCACCCTTGGTGGTGGTCTCCGAGTCTACGCAGAGGCTGCACCACCTCTTGCCAGGCTCAAAACTTGAGTTCATCCCTTCCTCCAAGTGGTCGTGGCAGCTGGAGGGTGAGGCCATTTGGGACGAGACTGCGATGTTGTTGAAGGAGGTACTGCCTACTGGCGTGGAGGTACATTCTGGTCCGGTGCATATATTCGCCTGTGAGGAGCGGAGGCAGGTACATGTGATTGGGCCGCTTAGTCACAGAAGAAGCAGGCGTGTTGTGTGGTGCTATACCCAAGATGTTACCCCGAAAGGAAGTTAGTTCCTTAAACCCTAAGCAAGTAAGGCCGGACTCCTCAGCATCCGCCCATGTGCTGTACCTGGGCTTTCCTCGATTTATTCCCTTTCAGTTGCAGCTGCCAGCCCTGGAGCACTGGGCCAGAGTGCTGCGTGTGAGGATCTGGGCGATCACGGAAGATAGCATCGACATTGACAGGTCGAAACGTGTCATACCAATCTAATAAGCCCTCGACCCTAAACCCTACATCGTAGAGCTTTAACCCGTGACCCTCAACCATAAACTTGAAACCCGAATCCCTCAACCCTAGCATTGATATTGAAAACCAAACCGTGGTCATAACACTAGTGCTATGCGTAATCAGAACAATAATAGCCCCCCGAATCCCAAACCCCAAACCTCAAACAAACCCCAAACCCTAAACCCCACACCCCAAAGCCTAAACTCCCTGAAACACTAAGAGGTTGAAGCCTGGCGCTGATCCCCGCGAGTTCCAGGACCCGCCGAATGCCAAATCCTCAATCCCAGAAACCCCCGATACCCTCAAAAAGATTTAGGGATCAGGGTTTAGGGGACCCAAACAACAAACCGCAAGGGTGCAAAAGGGCTCTAGAAGGGTTCTAGAACCCCCAAAGCTTGGGCCTTAGTGCCTATAGCTCTCAATCCCTGAACCCAGGATGAGCTTGTTTCTTTGGTGACTGCCTTGTTGCCACTGCTGGGAGACAAGTTTCTATTCGTCGACAGCACCCTTGCCAGCCTTTGCTTGTGCAGCTGTTGTGGTGCAGAGTCTAGGGCTTCAGGGTTCGTGGTTTAACGGTTTAGGGTTGGCTTAGGGTTCAAGATTTGCTTGTAGTGTTAAGCCCAGTTATATAGGTACGTTTGGCTCTGGCACATTTCTGGCTTGGCGCTTTCGAGAAAAACTTCTGGGGGCATTGATTTTCAACGTCCACCTCTTCATGGCACCGGATTTCGACGGGACAGAGCCTGCAAAAAAGATCAAGAACCGAATGGCAAAGCTGGGTGAGTATTTCGATCAACGGGATATGGACAATATCTTGGGGGTGCTCCCAGACTTTATGTACCCGACGGGCGGCGCAGATGGGGTGGAGGCGACAAAGAAGGCCTATGCGGAGGCACTGTCTTCGGCGTCAGAGAAGTTTTGGAAGCTCTCGGCGCTGCAGCCCTCGTGGAATTTCGATCACCTGACCACCATTCTGAGTTCGCAAGAGGAATGGCACATTGACTCGCCGCCTGTGGTGTTGGCCTGCAGTGATCAAGCACCCCTGGTGGTGGTCTCCGAGTCTACGCAGAGGCTGCACCACCTCTTGCCAGGCTCAAAACTTGATTTCATCCCTTCCTCCAAGTGGTCGTGGCAGCTGGAAGGCGACGCCGTCCTCGCGTCAGTTACAGAACTGCTGGATACTCTACTGCCCCGATGGCTGTCAGACAAGCACCCGAACAAGCGTTCCTCTTTGCCACTTCTGGGCCAACAGGTGGGGATTCTTGCGCTCAGAAGTTCTTTGATCCTTTTGGGAGGAGGCCGTAACTTATGGTCTCTTAGCGTGCAACAGAACAAACCTAGGTCATCATCCCGCCGACCATCGATGCTGCTGGGGACGAAATGTTTTGTCGCAGCTGTACTGGAAGCTGCCGTGCTGAGCAGAACCTCTGCCCGGTGCAATGATGTTTTAAAGAGAAGTACCCGCCACAGTCAGCAGGGTTGCCGCAGTGGCTCTTAGCAGACTATGCCGATGCTGTACTGTACTACATACCGGGACGCGATGCAGCAAAGCATCCACTGACAAGAGCAGAGCTTAGACATTCACAGCAGAACGTGCAAGAGCCTGCATCATCCCATAAGTGTTTGGGGCTCTGCGCCGCCTGCTGGTGTCGACCGCAGCCGAAGTGCTCGATATGCTTCATGTGGTGACGGACAAGCCAGCACTAGTGTGTGGTAGGAGCCGTCTTCCGCCGAAAATGCGTGGAAGCCACGGCTTCGCCTGGCATTGGGCCCAGTCCCTCAACCTTCTGCGTCACCCTTGCACTGTGCTACTGGTCGTCATGGAAGCGCTACTGTCCTCTGCTTTGTCAAGTAGCAAGTAAGTGCGGGAGTGTGTACGTGCGTAGTTGCAAGTAAGGAAGTAAGTTTAAGTAAGATAAGTAAGAATATAAGTCCTTGTAAGTATGCAGGCACGTGTGTCTGTGTGTACCTATAACCTATGTCATGTATGTCTGTATGAAATATGTGTGTGATGTAGAGAAGGTATTGTAGTGCACTGTAGCATAGTGTGGGGTAGTATAGCGTGTTGTAGTGTCGTGTACTGTATCTGCAGACATGTGCTGGTGCATATGCATAAAGATCTTGGCGTAGAACCAGAGACGGCTCACTCAATTGGCACAGACGCAGACGCTTGCATCTTTCAGGCTTTGAAGCTCTACATACTGTTTGTGTACTTGCTGGTTGATGCATGCTTTTCATCGTATCCAATAGAACTCCATTCGCTGCCGTTTTTCGCGTGTACGTGCGTGTGATGATGTGCATACACATGGCGCATGAATGTTCCCGTCGGGGAAAGGACGAACGATCGAACCCACAACAGAGCTTTCTGCTGTCTTTCGCTCGCGTACAGACTAATTATCTAACTATGTCGTACATCGACGGCCATTAGAATGAATAGTTTGAGCAGGGATGGTGTCAGTTGTAACAGCACCTCTGCAGCAAGTGTAGTAACATTGCTATGGACGAAAAATCGTGTACATAAACAGTTGAATTGAACAAATACATATATATATATATATATATATATATAGGTAGATATACATGTGTGTGTACAGATGTGAAAGTGTGGTCATTACACACGCACGCTTATATTGACAAATCCGGTTGCGTGCACACGCAGACACACATCAACATGTAAGCCAAAGTGAAGTTCGGGCAGCAGAACTAGGGCAACTAGGGTTTGTTAAGTGTGTGTGTGTGTGTGTGTGTGTGTGTGTGTGTGTGTGTGTATTATTGTATACAGAGACATGTGTATACACATATTTGAGCATATAGTCAGCAAACATGCGAGTGCCTTTGCAGCTGTATATGTACCTAAATACATATATGTATATATGTATATACACGGGCTGAATACATCTGTTACATGGCACGCAACCGCTAACATGTCGAACCTAAACTGTAAAGCCCTACAGTACATGGAGGGTCGGGGGACTTGGTAACTGATTATCTTAGGGACTTATAAGTACCATAACCCCAATTAGGGTCCCTTTTAGGGTACTTATACGTCTACTTACTACCTACTTACTATGTCCCCCCGACCCTCCAAGTAAGCCCTAAACTAAGCCTAAGGCAGCCCTACAGTCTAAACCCCTAACCCCCCCAAAGCCTTAAACCTAAACCCCCCATCCCCCTAAACCCTAAATCCTAAATCCTAAACCCTAAATCCTAAACCCTAAATCCTAAATCCTAAACCCTAAACCCTAAACCCTAAACCCTAAATCCTAAACCCTATAAACCCTAAACCCTACTGTGGTTGGCGCCCTTGCCTTGATTTTCGCCGCCACACAGCGACGCTTTAATTGTCGCGGGCCTTCTGCCTTTGTGGCAGATAGACCCCACGGCACCACGTGGGAGCTTCTCGAAATGAGGGGATCCCTTAAAGGGACTCTTGTCTGACTATTCTACCTATAGTCTCCATTGTAGTTCCTTTTTTTGGTTAACCAACATCTCTATTATAGGGTCCTAACCATAAAATTGGATAACCAAAAAAAGGAACTACAATGGAGACTGTAGGTAGCAGGTCGTGGGTGCAGTTCTTTATTTTGAGAAATCCCATGCATGCTGTGAGCAGAGATACGTTGTGAGCCTGTAGGCACGAGCACGTAAACAAGCGCTGCCGATACTGCGTCGCTGCTGTGTAGGCGTTTGTGGATTTCTCTGTTTCGGTTTTTTGGGCGCGGATCAGTCATTCTCGTGAGAAGGAGCCGTTGGAACTCCAGCCTGTTTTGCCTCTCATCTTCGTGCCGTTGAATGGTAATACTCTTTGTTATCGTTCCCTAAGGTACAGTATAAGTTACTTCCCTTGGATTTGGTGAACCCCAAACTCTGGTCCTATTGAGGCCCCAAGCTTCCACAGTCTTCCTAAGCACCACACGGTGGACCGTGACGAAGAACATGTGGGAGTTTCCGAAAATAGGGGACCCTAATATGGTGCCCTTAATAGAAGGATCCTTATTATAAGGACCCCAATGTATGGTACCCCTAATTTTGGTTCGAGAATCTAGACCCGAAGCCCTGAAATTTGAGGGGAACGGTGTGTGGGATTCCAGGTTTAGGATTTAGGGTTTGCGGGACAGTCTCTGTAGGAGTAGGAGCAATGTAGGGGCCTTCATGCATAGAGTGGGGTCCTAGAAGGCCTTTTTGAAGGAGTCTTTCAGGGTGTTGTCGAGTTGCTAGGGCTTAAGCTCAAGAAGTGGTAGAGGGGATCTTGGCAATACTAGGAGTAGGAGCAGGAGGTGGGGTGGAAGAAGGAATAGGTCGTGGTAGTAGGAGTGAGGGCTGCCTTGGCAGTAAGTAGCATTTTATTGTAATCGCAACAGTGCCAGTCAATGGCTACATGATACTCTCAACCGATCTATCCCTCAACGGTGATACTAAGAACATGACTCCTGCATGCCAAGCCTCACCTGAAAGCACAGGGACCCGAACGCTTCCCACCCTCCGAAAGCATTGACACTGCAAGACTGAGCCAGAGTCAAAACTTATATAGGGGTACTTAGATTTTTGAAATTTTTGGTTATTATAATCCCTAAGAAACAGCTAAAATTCTAATTTTTGCTAGGGTTCTAAGTTCAGTATAGAAATAATGTCCAAAGTACAGCCCGGTCTTCATTCCTAAGCCGAGGATACAGATGTCAGGATTAGGGTTGGGGCGCAGACATCCTGAGTTGTCCTAAAATCCTAAACGCCAATATTCGTAAACTCTAAATGCCCTATATAATCCCCACCTAAGACGACAAGGGGGGACGAGCTAAACAATTTGTAAACCCTGGGCCATAATCCCGACATCAAGTGCTCAAGCACATCTAAGCACCGACCCGCCTCTCTGCACCGTAAAGTCTAAGCCAAAAAACCGTAAACTTCGAGTAGTGCAGGAGGGGTGTTCGAATACCGAGTCCCAGGACGAGTATACACCAAGCCCTATGCAACCCTCAAGCCCCAGCACCCACATAAACCCTCTATAAACACCCATAAAAAACTCCATGAACACTAATCTAGGGGCCTGAATAATTACCAAGACTGTTTTGGGGGCTCCTGATTAGAAGTATACAACAATGTACCCCGAAACCCTATTCTGATTGGTAAGGCCCCTATATTAAACCCGTATTGTGATTATGGCACCCCAAAACCCTAGTCGACTTATTAAGGGCCCGAGATTAAGCACTAAACTTTAGAAGCTGCCCCCACCCTGTAATAGTGACTATAAGGACCATATTAAGGCCCTATTATATTCCTATTCTACCAGTATTACAGGGTGGGGGCCCCTTCTAAACTAAACCACCGCGCCAAGGCTGTCTGGCCGGCGTCCTCTCTTCGTGGATCGGCTGGAAGATGGACGACTCCCAGCTGCCTCCGGACAGTTCCGCAGTCGGGGAGTAGGTGTTAGGGTTTAGGGTTTAGGGAGTAGGTGTTACGGTTTAAGGTTTTTTTTGGGTGGTTAGGATGTAGGGAATAGGGTTTCGGGGACAGGGAGTGGGTTTTCTGTGTGTTTGGTGAGGCTGGAAAAATCCCTACGGCTCTATCGGCTCATGTTTCAAGGCTTGTGGACCCAACGACGATAACATGTAAGACTTTCAAGCTATGTTGAGCCTTGGGGTATGTGTCTCTTTTGGCTGTAGATTAGGGCCTAGGGTTTAGGATAGGTTCCCAGGCTACTGCCGTGAAGGCACCTGCGCGGCTTCCGTGCCAAAGCACCCCAAAGTCGAAGCCCTCAACCCTAATCCTTGCAGCGCCTACAGGGTTTAACCCTAAACCCTAAACCCTAAAGCCCATAGACACCGAAAGCCCTAATCCGAAACAAGTATAAATTATAAACCCACTAGACCCTCCGCAGGCCTTATGGAGACCCCCCCCCAAGAACCTCGACCCCCGCATGGTCCACCTCCTTTCTTTGAGCGCTGAAGCTGTTGGCGCCTTGATTCAGGGTTTCGGGTTCAGGGCTTGGGGTCTTAGGTTCAGGGCTTTGTGTTTCAAAAAGGGCCTTATCAAGACTCACCTATACTATTTGGGGGGGTTCTTTATTATGATTTTAGTATAATGGGCCCCAGAACCCTGTTCTAATTATCAAGGCTCCTATAGTAGGGTTTTAGTGTTTAGGGTTTATATAGGGGTTTAGGGTTTATGCCTCGAGTTTGGGGTTTGGAACTCATCCTTTCGCCATAGCTTCTATTTCTTCGCAAGAGGCCCGCTGAACCAATATTGTTATATCATTGTTATTATTATCATTATCAAAGAAAAGAACTCGGATCCTGCCGGGAAGTGGCCGGACATGCAACAGCAGGTCAACGATAGGGCCGATAAGGGCTTTCGTCGCAGAGCGTACTCCAACGCCAACTTTGAATGTCGAAACATGCCCTTGGTCACTGCGCTGATCACCGGCTGGCTAGAAATGCCCGGGGAAA